TGTGATACCTTGCATGCATTAATTTCAACTCTTCTTATCAATAACTGCATTGTTTTTTTTCAAGTAAACTGACATCTGACTGATCAAAGAAGACTCCAGAAGTAACTAGTCGTGACTTCTCTTGAAAATGGACAAAATTTGACATCGTGATGTTATCAAGTACCTACAGAAAAAGGGTTTAGCCCCAAAGAACATTTATGCTAACATGGTTGCTACATTAGTGGATAACACCCTAGCTGTACCAACAATAACAAAAGGGGCAGCTGAATTTAAAAGGGGTTGGGGGGGTCTTGTGTTTGAGCCAAGGTCACTGCCATCACCGAGGAAAACAATGATGGCATTCACCACATGGTGAGGGATGACAGACTATTGACTCTAAATCAAATTTGCATGACGAAAGTTTCTAGTCGTTGAGTACCACGTCTTCTGACACCTGATCAAAAGCGCACCAGGCTGATTATATCACAGGAAAATCTGACATCGTTTGAGGCAGATCCAGCTGGTTTCCTTGAACGTTTCCTAACCCAGGATGAGTGTTGGGTTCATCACTTTGATCCAGAGACAAAGAGACAATCCATGCAGTGGAAACACCCCTTCTCACCTGCTTGAAAAAAGGCCAAGTTTGAAAAATAAATCGCATTTGATCAAATCCCATGAGTATCTTGGTCAACCTTTCAACCAACCTTCATACATGTAAAACAATGTCTGAAACTTAATAAAACAGCTCTCATTGATATCTTTGTTATTATTAAGAGGAAAGACAGGGTTTTTTTTTGGGGGGGATCTTTTTTAGGACCTTCAAAATCTCGCATCGATGGGTGACCATAGTACTTTAAGGGGAATCTCTCTATAATGATTTTCTTTTAAAATTTAATCTGGTGTAGGGTCTGAGGGAGCCAGATGTACCATCCCTGTTTGTCACACCATGCATCCTATTCTTAGTAGTACAGATCATTGATAAAAACTGACTTTTTTTCGTAATTATGCTTTTCTATCTTACATATTTCATTATTTAGAGTTTATGATTTTAGCTTTGAACTGGTTCATCACCCTATTCTCCTGATTTTGGTTCAATCTGACTATTATCTGTTCCCCAAACAGTTGGCTAGGAACCAGTATCACAATGATGATGATGATGATCTCCTATCTGTTATTGTTAATTCTTTGTCTAACAGGATGAATAATCTTCTTCACTAATGGTATCCAAACGCTGCAACACCTATGGAAGGGAGAATACTATGCTGAGGTAGCTAAGAAAGGCTATAAAGTCCAAATGCCCAGATAAACTGACGAAAGAACTTTTGCTTTATTAGAACACAAGTCCTTGGTTTCAATGGCTTTGAACTGGTTGATCACCCTCTCTATTTTTATTATTGGACTATCATCTGTTCCCCAACACCTGATAAGAAACGTACCAGACTGATCATATCACAGGAAAATCTGATGACGTTGTTTGAGGCAAATCCAGCTGAATGTTTCCTAACCCAGGATGAGTGTTGGGTTCATCCCTTTGAGACAGAAGATGATAAAAACAGCAGCACCTTTTTTATACTTTTGCTGAAAATTGTACTCATTTGCTGAAGCTGGATTCATTCGTATTACATGATTTACTGAGAATGAATTCACTTATGTTAAATGAGTTTATAAGAATTGAACTGCATATGTTAAACAGGTTAATAATAATAATGTTTATTTTCTTTGTCTCGGCTTGCTGGGAATGAACTGAACCTCTAGAATAGAAATGCAACTAGTTATTTTCTGTTCATCTATGTCTAAAGGAAAATAAATCTCCAAGTCATTCATTATCGACTGTACATCTGCGGAAGGCGGCTGAGTGAATCAACCAAAATATTGCCAACAAAGGCAACATATAGAATAGGTCTAATTGCTTAATATATTACGAAAGCTGCACAACGTTTAAATAAATGAGCAAGACATAAATTGTCTCTCCCAGAAAAACAAACATGAGTATGGTAGTATTATTTTTTACCGAATCTTATATTTTAGGTATAAGCTTCTAACTTTTTTATGTTGATCACTGTTAGCTTTTCTAAAAGTCAAAATGTTTAAATCATGTTCGAAAATTTAGAGTAAAGGCAAATTTTAGACCAAACTAGGAGCCGAATAAGTAAAAAAAGATGCCTATCTGTAGCAAGGTTAGGCCTGGTTAGTACGCAGAGATGTGAGGTGCAGAGAAATCTTTCCATCAATTTAAAACTGCTTCAGTCAAAATAAATTAGTATACAGCATAATTAATTGGATGATTGATTCTTAAGGTTCATCAACTCTTTCTGTGTGATTAAAAGCAGAAACAGATTTTGGATTTTAAAAGCAATTCTTTTTTTTTTTTTTTTTTGCAAGTGAATATTACATCAGCATTTCTTAGAGAACAATAATGATTTTACATATACATGTCCTACTATTTAATCCCTAGCTTAGCGAGCAGATGGTTTCATCCTCTTTTTCCCAAGTGTATTTGCGCGTAAGTAAATTTAACGAACCCAATTCGAACTCGACTCTTCGGTCGTTTATTCTGAGCTAATACACAATAAGAACAGAATTAAGATGTGCTTTGTTTGGTAGCAATGGGGAACCGCTGGCTTGTCCCTTACAGAAAAAAAATTATAACAGAAAACAATACTCTAAAGGTGCAGACTGAATTTGTTTTCAATTTAAGTCACCTTTTTATTACAATTAAAAGAGAAGAACCTTTCTCTTTTTCTCCATGCATCGTGTTCTCGCAAGATGTTGGTAATTATAGTTTTCCACAAATTCCTGTCTTTGTTGTTTTCAGTAAATTTTAATAGCATATCCTTTTAAACGTAGGCAGTCATGATTCTCTAGAAATTTTGTTTTTTTCTATTATCTATAAATTGCCATAACTTCTTCAGAAAGATTGTTGAGTGATTCTACGTTGCCTTTTGTACCGTAATACTTCTCCGGGACTGGCTTCCAATATAAGCAATGAACTCTCTCTCTCTCTCTCTCTCTCTCTCTCTCTCTCTCTCTTGATTGTTCATTCAATAAAGCACTAGCAATAAATTAAACAGTAGAGTATAGTGGATTCTTTAGCCTTGGATGGCAGATATATTAAGAGAAGGACTCGGAATTCAAAACCCTGAAGAAAACGATGGAAAACTGCTCTTCTCATAAGAAGCGAAATAAACTTGATTAAAATTGTTTTATTCCTTTATATGTGATTGATTTTTTTTTCTCTTTTTTGTCAAATGTTGTTCACGTTTGGGGATAGTTCCGTACTTAACCTCCTCCTGAAAAAACAAGAACATATTTCTTTTACATCGGTCTTAATTTATTCATGCCATTAAATTAAGGGCAATGGATTAATTTCATTTAATGATTGGGGAATTTTTTGCTTCCTTTAAATTAATAAATAATTATGTGGATTTAATGTTTATTTTAACCTTACTTTCAGAATACAAATATTCAAAAAATTGGAACTTAAATCCTTCTTTCGATGGTAAACATTTTAAAGTGCATTCGACTTTCAAATCTCATTTTCGACCCTTAACCCTGTCAAAATTTTCACGACCATCTGTATTTAATATGAGAGATATCTTATAGCAAATTTTATAATCATCACCACCACCATCATCATCATCATCATCACAATCATAATGAAGATTAAAAGAACTGAGATTTAATCTGAATAACTACATGCGTTATTGAGTTTTCATGCTACTGGTAATTAGTGAGTTACCCTGGAGATCAAATGACCGCAAGCCTCTTCAGTGTTCCAGAAATCCCCTTCTTATTTTACCCTATTCCAGCAATACTGTCAATTACCAAGACACTTTGGGACTGTTCCTAGTGCACCAGTAATCATCGGAACTACAGATACCTTCATTTCAGGTTTTCAGTCATGACAACAGCCAGCTTTTCATTTTCTTTTCGATTTGATCTTCCAATCAGCAAATTTCGATTTGCTCTTCCAATCAGCAAATTTCGATTTGCGCTTCTGATAAGCAAAATTCGATTTGATTTGGCATCTTTCCCTCTCCCAATCCGCCTTCGGATTTTGGTGCCGCACTTTCCATCCTTTGTTAAAATAATTCAATATTCAAACAAAATATTTATTTATTTTGTATCTCCATTTTGTAATTTGCATGTTGGGCAGTTTCTTTTACTGACAACCATGCACTTTGTCTTCTTGCAGTTGATGTTGAGTCCTTTCTTCTTGCTTTCCTTCAAAACTTTATACACTTGTATTATCTTATTCAACATTATTTGCTTACGGTCATATCACGCTGACACCGTTACTCGCCCGATCACCAAAGTTAAGCAACGGCCAGCTTGGTCATTAACAAGATGGATGACCGTTTGGGGATATCAGATGATGGAAACTTAGATTTTCGGGCGGTGCAATGGAGAACGGCTCCGAATATGAAATCGGCGAGCTAAGTTCCAATTCCAGCCCGGTTCGTTATATTCATTTAGGCACAAATACCCATGGGACAGATTTCAATCTACATCTTCTCCTCCCCCTCCTAGCTTTGAGGTAAATGGAAGGGCTGTTATCAGAAAACCATCATCTTTAAAAACATTCTTACAATCCAAAAATATTTACTGGTTTTAAATATCCTGCAAAAGGTTAATGAGCCGTATAAAACAAATTGATCAATCAATCTGATTTTATTTTTTTTTATTTCAATTTGATTAATAAAATATTTTTATATATTTGAATATAATACTGTTACAATTAGATTTGGGGGATTTGAGCGTGAAGTATTTTACTTTTCGTTTTTTAAATTTCTTTAAATGATTTTTTCACTTTAAATCCTTTCTTAATGGAAAGTGTATATTTTTCCACTTTTGAATTGGGTTGAAACTCCTAAATATGGTTGACTTAATTTCTTTTATATTGTAGGTGGATTTAGAAGTTTGAAAAGTTGTCAAGCCAAAATACAAATGTTATTTCTGAAAATAAAACCTGCTACTTTTTAAAATTGAGACTTAATGTCTATTTTAGACATCCATTTTTGATGCTGTTCCATCGTTTCACACTCCCATATTTTTCTTCTGATACCAAAATGGTAAAATTCTTCCATTGTGAGTTATAGCAAAAAAAGTAGAATTCTACATATACTGTTGACCTGTATATTCACAGACACTTGCATGATTTCTATGTTACTTACCACCTAAGACTCTAACGAATTACGGGAATCATGACTGTAATTATGAGTTTGAATAAATATCATTGCAGATGTGCAATATGAGATTGATTTAACTTGTGTTCCAGGAAACTTGTCTTAACGCCAGCTAGGTGGCGTTGTATAAAGTAGTATGAAAAGACTCAAACTCACTCGGCATCTCTCTCTCTCTCTCCCTTTCTCTCTCTCTCTCTCTCTCTCTCACACACACACACACACACACACACACACATCACGTTGAAACATCGGTATTCGTCCGATCACAGAAGTTAAGCAACGTCAAGCCTGGTCAGTACCTGGATGGAGGACCGCTTCGGAATATCAGGTGTTGTAAAAACGTGGATGTACGGATGATGTAATAAATAATGGCTCGTTGTTAATCAAAGAGCCGAGTTCCAATTCCGGTTGGGTTCGTTATATTCGCTTACGCGCAAATGCCCTTGGGAAAGGCATGAATCCACCTATTCTCCACTTCAGCTATTAGTTAATTAATAAGATTTGTATCACTAAAGCATTATTATGTAAACAATATTCTTGCAATCGAAAAAAAAATTTCTGGCTTTAAATTATCTTCAAAGCGTTGATAATCTGTAAAAAAAACGAATCAATCAATCTCGTCTTTTTTTTTCCGTTTCCACTCTCAGGACGCATCTTGTTTCCCTTCGGGAAGACTTCTTAGTCTCCAGGCAAACCGACGCCTAAATCTCAACCGAACCACCTGACGAATCCCGCAGCCATACATTCGCTAAAGTCTCTAGACACACACAAAGCACACACACATAAACACACATACACATTACTCTATTTTGCATGACTTACACCTTTACCTACATATAATCTCTATTTTGGTACACATTTTCTTCGTTCACTTATAAACTTAATTCTTATTTTCCCCTTAAACTCTTAAGTGCTTACAACTGCCATGTAAAACTACAATTTAATTGATTGTTTTTGTTTTGTTTGTTTAATGACATATCAACTCGTTATGGGTCATCTAATTTTATTGAAAGCTTTGAAGTAATTAAACTATATGTTATTCTGCTTTCACAATTGAATACATGGTAGATGATACTCTGCTTTTGATCATATACATGTTTGTTTGGGCATAATTACTAGAGGCGGGAATAACTGCGTTTTATGTTGCAGTTTTGTTGAAGTTATATTTTGATATACAGTTTTGATATATATATATATATATAAGGATTCACTATTTGGCCATAGCTGGGATCCTAACAGGTGCTACCACAACGAATTAAGTTGGACCTGGGAACAATAGCAATTAAAAGGTTGTTCTACGCTCTTCAAAACCTTCAATCTCCTGATCAGAGTTCTTGCCGCCGGATATAGTTTATCGTCATACCCAGGAATAAAAATATATTTGTCCTTCATTTGCTAAAATATAATGATGTCTACATCCACAATTTTTATTTGAATTCATAGCAACTCGTTCTAAAATTGGAAAAATGCTATAAAACATATTAAACAGACATTGTTTGTCAATTGAATTTTACAAAACTAGTTTAAATATATTGGCCCATCTTTCGTGGGAAAGGTATATTATCGACAAGCGGGGGTCAGCAGACGCCTGATCTACAGAGAAGTGATATTTGGCTAAGGAAAACCACTTCCAAAAATGAATCAAAACCAACATTCAGATGCATGAGTACACTCGCATTCGTCAAGTCTTGTAATGTTTGAGAAACCCCAGTACAAACGACTCATTACTACAGTTACTAGAGAGAAATAAAAGCCTTGATCATAAGAACTGTGAGTATCTTTGTTCTTCATTACTCTGCGATGCCCGAGTTGGGTTGCGTAGCTACCAGCGAATTCACAAATTTCTTCATAAGGAAAAAAAGAAACAGATAACGAAATGGACTGTTAATATTATTACATATACTGGCTATGCACAAAATTTGTTTCTATGAAGAGCATTTTAATGCAGCTCATTTGGATTGTTCTTCATCCGCTCAGATTAAGACTTTCCTATGGATGTCATCTGCCAAAACGCTTTAAAACATCTAGACTGTCAGCTGTATAAAACCACTTTCTCAAATCAATGGTTATGAATGACTTCTAGCGAGTAAAGTATATACATGTTATTGAGGCCCATCCTTCTTCGAATATCGTGGCCTGCCGCTACATAATCACTGACAAAGAACTTTACCAAAAAAACAGAAAGCACAATACAAGACAACCAACAGCAGCAACAACTAAATTAGATAGCGCATATAACTCGAAGAGATAATATAGTAAGTCCCCGGATTACAACAATCCTGATTCGTAGTTACGACATAATCTCCATTAATCTTGTTTCGACTTACGTCATTGCTTCGTACATACGACCCGGTGAAGGATAAATTGTGCGGTGGAAGAATTCGTTGTCCTAGAGTTATAACTGGGAAGGCAGTATGGATAAGGCTCTGGTTGTACGCCATATTAAATTGTTGTGTATTCGCTCTCTTTCGTCTGTGTTGTGTTTGTGGAAAGTTATTGCCTTGCATTCTAGGTCCCTAGCGTAGTGCAACCTCTTCTGATGGCGGTGCGCCGAAGAATAAGAAAGTCATCACTATGGAAGGGAAATTAAACATTGTTAAAATCTCTGAAAGGCGAGACGTGCATTGACCGGATGCTTAGGTCAGTTGTTAAACTGTATCTGTCTATATCCTCAAGGGCACATGGCACAGTGGATAAAGGCGTTGGTTAGATCCAGTGACAGGACCCAAAGAGTGTGAGTTCAATACCCGCTTAAGGCAGTGGAGAACTTTCAGAGGGAAATTAACAGGAGATAACTGATAGCTGACATCCATTAAACATGGCACGTAGAACTAAAACAGTCTACCCCAGTGAGCGAAATAAAGGGTTCAGTTCGACATTCCAACCAACTGAAGAAGGCCGGAGCGTACAACGGCCGAAACGGTGTGATAAATATGGCGACAAAGATGAGGACAATAGTCCGAATAATGTATTTTTTACGGTAAAAACCAAAATTACCTCAACATGAGATTGGTCTGTTTCTGGTTGATCAGAACCAAGCCGTCTGAAGACGGCTGAGTTCAAATCAGACAGAAATAGACTATTCTCATGCTGAGGTAATTTTGGTTTTTACCGTAATATATATATATACATACATATATATATATATATATATATATATATATATATATATATATATATATATATATATATATATTCCTGAGATACGGAATTTTAATTATTTGCACTATTTACATTTTTCGGACTGTTGTCCTCATCTGCATTGCCATATTCACGATGTTTCGGTTGTTGTACGCGCTGGTCTTCTTCAGGATTTCTCTATATTTCTGAGACGAGGTATTGTAATTATTTATATTATTTACATTGTTCGGATTATTGTCCTCATCTTCGTTGCCATATTCAGCCAGTGTATGCTGCAGACACATGATCCAGTGGATAAAAGTCTTGGACGAATACAATGACTTGACTGACAGAGTTCTGAGTTCAATACCTGGCTACAGAAGAAGTGAACAACAAAAACTTGGAGAGTTGAATTATTGGGATATAACAGATACTGAGACATCCGGAAGAGGCATGGCATGTGAAACTAGAACAAACTACCCAGAATAAAAGGTTCAGGTCAAAATTCTAATCACCTGAAGAAGGCAAGAGCGTAAAACGGCCGAAACGTTGTGAATAGGACAACAAAGTCCAAGTGTAGTGTAAATAAATCCATATCTAAATATCATGTGCTGTATTTGTTTCTTTTTGTTTTCTGGACCACAACATATAAATATTGTAGTTTTGGGAAGAAAAACATTAAAAACTTCATATAAATTAACATTTTGTAAAAAAAAAAAAAAAATCCAAAACCAAATCGAAGCCCTTGAACTTCCTGTTGGAGGAACAATTTTGTCTATTCAGAGGTCTGGCTCTACTCACCATGCTTGCAAAATTAGTTGGTGTTTGGGAATTCAGAGTTGTCCTTTTCCTAGACTAGTTGACAACCAAGGCAAGGGTATTTGCATATAAATGACTCTAATGAACCCAACTGGAATTCAAACTTAGCTCTTTGAATCCTCAACTCAAGCCGCTATCCATTGCTTTAATGTGTCACCAAACCAATTAGACAGATTAAAATTATAGCAGACACATTATTCGATGATATTCTAATTGACTAATCAGTTTAAAAATAAAAACATTGTTTTATTGAAAATTATTTATTATATAATATCCCAACTGGGTGAATATCAACTTAAAGCAATATTTTCTTAACTCATAATTTGCAGAGAAATACAAAAATTACACTTTAGAACATATACCAATTATCAATATGCAAAATTTCAGTTCTTAACCATTTATAGACCGTTCTCGGTATGACGATAAACTACATCTGGCAGCAAGACCTCTGATCAGGAGGTTTTGAGGAGCATGGAACCAGCTCTTAATTACTGGTGTTCCCAGGTCCACTCTGACTTGGGGTGGTAGCACTTTTTAGTGTCCCAGCTATGGGAAAATAGTTGACCTCCAAACTGAGGTCAAAACACTATTAAAGTGTAAAAATAGGTTTTAATACCAGCAATATATTTTTGTAAAAATTATTACCAGCAATGAATTTTTGAAGGGAACATTTTTTTTACCAGCAATGTATTATTAGTAGCAATATAAAAAAAATATTACCAGCAATTTATTTTTGAAAAAAAAAATATATTACCAGCAGTACATTTTTGAAGGAAAAAATATTACCAGCAATTTATTTTTGAAAAAAAAAATATATTACCAGCAGTACATTTTTGAAGGAAAAAATATTACCAGCAATTTATTTTTAAAAAAAAATATATTACCAGCAGTACATTTTTGAAGGAAAAATATTACCAGCAATTTATTTTGAAAAAAAAATATATTACCAGCAGTACATTTTTGAAGGAAAAATATTACCAGCAATTTATTTTTGAAAAAAAATATATTACCAGCAGTACATTTTTGAAGGAAAAATATTACCAGCAATTTATTTTTGAAAAAAAATATATTACCAGCAGTACATTTTTTGAAGGAAAAATATTACCAGCAATTTATTTTTGAAAAAAAATATATTACCAGCAGTACATTTTGAAGGAAAAAATATTACCAGCAATTTATTTTTGAAAAAAAATATATTACCAGCAGTACATTTTTGAAGGAAAAATATTACCAGCAATTTATTTTTGAAAAAAAATATATTACCAGCAGTACATTTTTGAAGGAAAAATATTACCAGCAATTTATTTTGAAAAAAAAAAAATATATTACCAGCAGTACATTTTTGAAGGAAAAATATTACCAGCAATTTTTTTGAAAAAAAAAATATATTACCAGCAGTACATTTTGAAGGAAAAATATTACCAGCAATTTATTTTTGAAAAAAATATATTACCAGCAGTACATTTTTGAAGGAAAAATATTACCAGCAATTTATTTTTGAAAAAAAATATATTACCAGCAGTACATTTTGAAGGAAAAATATTACCAGCAATTTATTTTGAAAAAAAATATATTACCAGCAGTACATTTTGAAGGAAAAATATTACCAGCAATTTATTTTTGAAAAAAAAAAATATATTACCAGCAGTACATTTTGAAGGAAAAATATTACCAGCAATTTATTTTTGAAAAAAAAATATATTACCAGCAGTACATTTTGAAGGAAAAAATATTACCAGCAATTTATTTTTTGAAAAAAAATATATTACCAGCAGTACATTTTGAAGGAAAAAATATTACCAGCAATTTATTTTTGAAAAAAAATATATTACCAGCAGTACATTTTGAAGGAAAAATATTACCAGCAATTTATTTTTGAAAAAAAAATATATTACCAGCAGTACATTTTGAAGGAAAAATATTACCAGCAATTTATTTTTGAAAAAAAAATATATTACCAGCAGTACATTTTGAAGGAAAAATATTACCAGCAATTTATTTTTGAAAAAAAAAAATATTACCAGCAGTACATTTTTGAAGGAAAAATATTACCAGCAATTTATTTTGAAAAAAAAATATATTACCAGCAGTACATTTTTGAAGGAAAAAATATTACCAGCAATTTATTTTTGAAAAAAAATATATTACCAGCAGTACATTTTGAAGGAAAAATATTACCAGCAATTTATTTTTGAAAAAAAATATATTACCAGCAGTACATTTTTTTGAAGGAAAAAATATTACCAGCAATTTATTTTGAAAAAAAATATATTACCAGCAGTACATTTTTGAAGGAAAAAATATTACCAGCAATTTATTTTTGAAAAAAAAAATATATTACCAGCAGTACATTTTTGAAGGAAAAAATATTACCAGCAATTTATTTTTGAAAAAAAAAATATATTACCAGCAGTACATTTTTGAAGGAAAAAATATTACCAGCAATTTATTTTTGAAAAAAAAAATATATTACCAGCAGTACATTTTTGAAGGAAAAATATTACCAGCAATTTATTTTGAAAAAAAAAAAATATATTACCAGCAGTACATTTTTGAAGGAAAAATATTACCAGCAATTTATTTTTGAAAAAAAATATATTACCAGCAGTACATTTTTGAAGGAAAAAATATTACCAGCAATAAAAATCTTATCAGCATTAAATAACCCATTGAGGTTGATATGTTGTAAAACAAACCAGACCAAACCCTTTATAGATATTAAGTTATGAGAAATGTTATACATGTCAAGTAACACTTTCAAATAAGGCCAAGCATTTGTCCATTAAATATTTGTGGGAATTTTATGTTTACAATTACGGCCACACATGAAATATAGATAGAAGGACAACGTATGAAGTAGTCAGTGAGAATGAGAGTCCATTTAATTTTAATAGTCGGAGCAGTAGCCAGACATTTTTCTGTTAAATATTTACGTGAATTTTGTATCTGTTAGAATGGCAGCATATGAGGTATAAATAAAAGAACAGCATATCAAGTTGTCAGTGAGAGTATGAGTTCATTTAATAGTCTGAGTAGCAACCATGTGTAACAGTCTGAGTTGAAGTCATTAAGAATTATTCTTGTATTTTTCTGTTGTATGAAAACTGCCTTCATAACTAAGAAAAGGACTATAAAAAAAACTAAAACAATTTTCGAAACCACCACAATTAATTGAACATAAATATTCTGAATTTCCACTTCATCACCTTTTCATATCTTCCTTTTCATTTTTTAGTGGAGCTGAATATTTTTACAAAGTCAAATCTACACCCCCCTCATCTACGTTCCACAATATAAAAACAATGCTACATGTGGTGAATTTCGAAAGATTTTAATCTCAGTCGCCAAACTCTACTCTGCAAAAAAGTAATATCACACATTTTACCTTTCGTCAAAGGGAACAATGACTTTATAACTTATCTGAGGATTTTCTGTGTCATCAAAAAACAATCCGTGGAAAATGATTTAAAATGACCTCCAAAAATCTGCCTCGAAAAACGCCAATTACCAAAACATTTGTTGATTACTAAAACATTCACTGAATCAGAAACATTGATGAGGAAGGAGATTATGTTGAAAAATAGATATTTTCATCATGACAATACAAATTCACTCTTTTATTTACAACCATTTCGTGTTGAAAATCTGTTTCTCCAAAACAGAATTTTTTTTTGAATTCCAGTGTTTGGTGATTCAGCTAGATTTTTGAAAGCAGATTGTCCTGGCGTACACACACACACACACACACACACACACACACACACACACACACACACTCTCACACACACACACACACACACACACACACATATATATATATATATATATATATATATATATATATATATATATATATATATATGGGGACTCTCCTATATCGTGAGCGATAAATGAGGGTCAGCAGTGTATGGTGACTTTCATTTACAAAAGGCGATTGGGGAGAAAATCAGGTAAGGGAAAAACATATTTCATCTGTGCTTTCTTAAGTGTGATACTAGCCCAGCCTTGCTGTGGGCGACAAAGCCACAATGACAGATGAAATTTGTTAAAGCAGGATTTTGGTGGCGTCTCTACTTCAGAGCTTGACGAAGCTGATCAAAATGAAGAAGAGGTATGGCACGTGGAACTAGAAAAATTTTCCCCAGTGGACTAAATAAAGGGTTCAGTTCAAAATTCCAATCACCTGACGAAGGCCGGGGTGTACAATTGCCAAAACGTTGTGAATATGGCAATGAAGATGAGGATAACAGTCTGAATAATGTAAATAATGCAAGTAATCATAATACCTCATCTCAGAGATATAGACAGAGAATGTTTTTATTAACAAATCAAATGATAACAAAATGATTGAGATACTGGAAATCACCCTCAAAACGGCCATGATTTCCTACGTCCTGAAGGCACATAAAAGAAGATATTTTTATTGAAACCAGAGGGCTTTGAAGGATCAAGGCATCTTGGAATTGGATCAAAAGTTTGTTTTTTTTTTGGGGGGGGGGTCAGATGAGATGGAACCAAGCAGTCAATCAAAGGTAATGTGAACAAAATCAGACTGAACACCACCTAGTGAGCCACATCCAGACCCATCAAAAGAAAAACTCTTTTTAATTAACTGATGTGTTAATTGGATGCATGTTGGGGTGCAATGGATATTGGCTCAGATTGAGAAATAAAGCAGCCCAGTTTGAAATCCAGTCAGGTTCATTATATTCACTTATGCACAACTACCTTTGGAAAAGTTACAATTCCACCGTTTCTCCTCCCCCCAGCTATGGGTTGAATAGCATGATAGATTGGGTCCTATAGACTCGGTTGGGAACCAGTCTACTGCAAAAAGATTTTCTGTTATTAGGTACAGTTTTTTGTTTGTGATTTTGTAAGACCAGTCCAACAGATTTGGAGAAGAAGAGTCCTCACTAAGACCAACAGGATTAATTTGCTCAAAGCCACTTTCAGCCATTGATCTGAGAAAGTATAACATTGACAAGTTTTGGAATGAGTTCGATGCTATGCTTGAAATCCATAAGAAAGTTTAATTCTGCCAATGATATTTAAGAACATGGCATTATTTACATTGTGCAGACTGTTATCCTCATCTTCATTGCCATATTCAAAACTTTTTGGCCATTGTACACTTCAGCCTTCTTCAGGTAATTGGAATTTCATCCACTGGGGTAGATTGTTCTAGTTCCATGTGCCATGCCTCTTCCAGATGTCCCGGTTATTTCCTTTTAACTCAACTCTCCAATTTTTTGGTTCATCACTGCCTGGTATTGAACTCACAACTCTTTGGGTCTAGTCACTGGATCTAACCAACGTCTTTTTATCTACTGGCTTACATTTGAGTTCTAGGCTAATGTATTGGTTTTGTATTAACTTTCAGTCTTGTGGGAAACTACCCTTAACAGGAACTCTGTTCCATGTTCACAGACCAAGAAAATTTGTTTATTAAAGAATTTTTTCTATATTTCTGGCCATTCTCCCAGCTTCCAGGGATAATTTATATCTAAATTATCCGATGTTAGAATAATTTCATTTTTCATAAGAGTTTTGCTTTTTGTGCTATGTTGTTTTCTTCATTTTCAAATATTGCCTCTTCCTGTCTTCACGTGACATTTTTGTGTTCTCATGTCATTTTTATTATTATTATTATTATTATTTATTTATTTATTAAATGCATTATTATTATTATTTATTTGTTTATTAAATGCATTTGTTATGCATGTTCCTACATTCTATCATATTTTATTCAAGTTGCTTGTGGCTAAAGATGGGCTGTTGACAGCATATATAAAGCTGAAACAAGACACTAAATTTTTCTTAATTTTTTTCTTTTCCAGGTATAAGTGTCACACACACGGGGGAAGTGTTAGACTTGATGCCGTCTCGAAACGCA